ACTTGGGAGGCTGAGGCAAGAGAATCGCTTAAGCCCAAGAGTTGGAGGTTGCTGTGAGCTGTGATGTGACAGCACTCTACCGAGGGCATCATAGTGAGATTGTCTCAAAAAAAAAAAAAAAAGAGGAAGGGCTTTATGCCACCCAGGGGAGCAAAAGCTGAGTAGAGTCCACAATGACCTCACTCCCAGACCAGCTCTGTCTTCTTTTTATCTCCAGTCAAAAGTTTCACCCAAGGGTACCTTTCTCATTGGTCAGTCTGAATCAAGCTAGAGAAGCCAGCTGTGGCTTTTAGAGACCTGGAAGCAAGTATTAGTTGCCAGCTCCCAGGAAGTTAAGTGTCTTCACATTCTTAAACTGAGTCACCACAAGGAGAACCTTGCAGGTTTGTCACTGGGGCCTTCTCGAGAAGACCTCTAGTCTCCTGGACACACTTTTCCAGGGTATGCTCTCTCCTTGAGTCTTCCTCTCTTCCTCTCCGTCTCTGTTACTCCACACATTCATCATAATAAATAGGAATAACATGCTCGCCTGAACAGCGCACAAGAATTACCTCTGAAAGGACATTTGGTGTCACACGACACTTACAGGAACTGGTGACTGAGAACTGAGAACTGTCCCGGGGAGCTGACCAGCCAAGAAGAACAATGGCGGGGTAGGGCTGAGGGGACGGATTAGGGCAGAAGCGGGGTCTGCAGAACCCCCGGAACAGGGACATGACGGGGCTCCCCGGAGAGCGGGGCTGCGGCGCTGCCCTCCAGGGACACTCGGGCGAGGCCTGGGACCCGGAAGTGCGTGAATTCCCTACCCGAGTGAGGACTTTAGGGGGCGTGGAGGGAGTGCAGGGGTCACTCCGGGGCTTTAGGAGCAACACGGTGCAAAATGGGGAGTCTCCCATACCTGTGGCAGAAAGACTGGGGCCAGGACCTGCCTCAGGGCGACTCAGTTCACAAGATAGAGACTCCGGACGCTCACTGGGACGCGAATTGACTCGGGGCAGAAGGAGCCGTGCGGGGATTTGAGGTCGCTACGGCCCCCCAAATCCCGGTATAAAGGGGCTGGAGTTTGGGAAGCAAACACGTAATCATAAAAAGAAACTCACCGGGACCCGTGATCGCCTTGCTCCAGTCAGCGGCTTCCGGGTCTGCAGGAACCTGCGCAGGAAGGAGGGGCGGGGGATCAGGGGAGCTTCTGGGCGGGCGCGGACAAGGGGCGGGGCGCCGGGGCAGGTGGGGCGGGTCTGGACACCGCCTATGCTTTGGGCGTTTCCTCAGGTGCCCAATTTCATGGGTTAAAGGGACAAAACGTCTGAAGAGGCAGGAGCTATTCAGAGGTCTGGGAACTAGAATCTAGCTGGGAGCGTCAACTTCCGCTGGTGATTAAATCCAGGAACGATCCTGCAATTAAAATTAAGTTCTGTAATCCCCTTAAATACTCCATCCAAGAATGTCTACGTAGGAGAGGCAAACTACAATAGGAATTGCAAACCCCTCCCTGGGCTGAATGTGCAGTTTCAGGCTAATGCCCAACAGAACACACCAGAAGTCCTTTCCGTTTCTATTTCCAGTTCACTCCAGAGGGAGGGCTTCAAGCCTAAGCTCAGGCTTGAAGGGGGACTATCCTGGCGCCTGTAGGGTTCAGGCCAGTAAAAGGTGGTCACCAAGGGCTTCTCTGAAAAAGCAGTAACTCTTGAATGTAAAAGGGAATTAAGTATGTGTTCTTCACACTAGTTATTCTTACAGTATTGAGATTATGTACCTTTAAGATAACATTTGTTGGCCTTATTGTAGGCTCACATCAATACATTCTGAATATACTGCAAATTCGTGTGAATGTAAGTTCAATATGAAGGTCCTTACAAAATACATTTCAAAAATTGTTTCATATATGTATATCTATATAAATATATTTTAAGAGCGAATGTCTTACTCTGTCACTCTGAATGTGCTGTCATACCACACAGCCCCCTTAAAATCTTGAGCTCAAGGGATCCTCTCACCTCAGTGTCCCAAGTGAGTCTTCAGTTGCTAGCCACAATGCCCACTAGTTTTTCTATTTTTAGTAGAGACAGGGTTTCATGCTTGCTCATGCTGTTTGAACTCTTGAGCTCAAGTGATCCACCTACCTTACCCTTCCACCGTGCTAGGATGTGGATAACGGGCCTTGGGGCAGCAAGGCCCCAACAGCCTATCAAACATTCAAGGAATGAACCCCCAACTGCATCTCCTCCCTTCTCAAAACAACCATATTCCTTTCTTCATGCTCCCTCTGCCAGAGTGGCCTACCTCTTTCTTTGTCTAGTTAATTTTTAGGAACTATGCAGAAATTCTTGTGATCTTTCCCTCTTACTTTTTATCATATGTTAATGATGTTAGGTACAAACCATTAATAGGATGATTTGTCTTTGTTAAAGTTATTTACAATTTCCAGCTGGGGCCCAAATCACAGTGTTTACCATGCTGGCCAGATACACTGAGGCTGGCGGTTCGAACTCAGCTGGGCCTGCTAAACAACAATGACAACGCAACAAGAAATGGCCGGGCGTTGTGGTGGGCACCTGTAGTCCCAGCTGCTTGGGAGGCTGAGGCAGGAGAATTGCTTATGCCCAGGAGTTTGAGGTTGCTATAAGCTGTGATGCCTCGGCACTGTGCTGAGAGCAAACAGTAAGATTATGTTAAAAAAAAAAAAAAGTTATTTACATTTTCCAATAATACTGTAAGACCCAAGGTATGTCTTTTGTCTATGCTACTTCCCCATAGACAACCCTAATAAGATACTATAAAATAAAGCTGATTTTGTGTTTTGGTGCTTGCTGCAGCCATCAGCTGAGTCACAAATCCCAATCCCATCTTTCATCTCTGTCTTATTTTCCACAATCCCCACTCTGTCTACTTTGGTTTGTTCCCCTTATCTGCGCAGGTTTGCTGTACTAGGATTATAGGTGTGAGCCAACGGACCAGGCTGAATTTTTATTTATTTATTTATTTATTTCTTGTAGAGACACAGTCTCACTCTATGGCCCTAGGTAGCGTGCTGTGGCATCACACAGCTCACAGCGACCTCCAACTCCTGGGCTTAGGCTATTATTCTCTTGCCTCTGCCTCCAGAGTGGCTGGTACTACAGGTGCTCGCCACAACACCCGGCTATTTTTTTGTTGTTGTAGTTTGGATGGTGCCAGTTTTGAACCTGTCACCCTTGGTATATGGGTCCAGCACCCTACTTCTGAGCCACAGGCACCGCCGTAGGCTAAATTTTTATATATTTAGGTCTTTCCTTTGTTTTGTTTTGTTTTTTTTTTTGATAGTCTCACTATGCTGCCCTCAGTAGAGTGCTATGACATCACAGCTCACAGTAACCTCAAACTCTTGGGCTTAAGCAATTCTCTTGCCTCAGCCTCCCAATTAGCTGAGAGTACAAACACCTGCCACCTGCCATTTTTTGGTTGTAACTGTCATTACTGTTTGGCAGGCCCAGCCAGTCTCAAACCCACCATGGCCAGTGTATGTGGCTGGTGCCCCAGCCCTGAGATACAGGCACTAAGTCTGTTTTCTCTTCTCAAATGATCCTCCTACCTCAGCTACCCAGGAACCTGGGATTATAC